TCTCTCTCTCTCTCACACACACACACACACACACACACACAATTTTTAAAAATTACTGACAATTAAGCGTCCAGACCCAGAATCCTCTAGAATGTTTTCAAAGTGAACTGTAGGAAAGTGTTCTTTGAAGCTCACACACTGGCTCTGAAGCTACAGCAGAGAAAATGGGCATCTCCGGCTTGATAGCTGGTTAGCTTTTAGCAAGAGTTTACTGGCATTGGCTATTCAGTCTGGAAAACTCTGGTGCCCAACCCCTGTGTATATGTGCACAACAGACTCCTCCATGAGTAACTGTGAAGTTTGAGGTGCAGTAGGGGCTATGTTTTGAAAGTCTGGCCAGAGCCACCAGCATCAGAGTCACCTGAGAGATTATTAGGGTTTCAGTTCCCTGGATCTTACTCCACAGCTACTGAATCAAGCATTCCTGGGAATTGACCTTTGCAGTAAGCTCTGCAGAGGACCAACAGCCCTGCTGAGGCACCTCACAAGGACTCAAGGAAACCTACGTGTCCTAGAGCCACGTGCCCAGGGCAGCAGCAGGATGACCCACAGCAGAAGTGCTGCTCTTCCATCCTTCCATCCTTTCATCGGCTCTGGTCTTTACATCAGCGATGGAGAGGCTCCAGGTTGGGCAGAGGGATGAAGGGCAAGGTTTCACTCTCTGTGCCTGCTGATTCACAGCCCCTCCTGCCTACCAAGGTCACAATAGGCACTGGACAGAGTCAGCACTGTTCAGTCAAAGCAGCCAGGTGGCATCCTGAAGAGTGGAGCTGGAAGGTGAGGGAATGGGATGACTCTATAATCAGTTGTGTTCCTACGTGGGGTGGCATCTCAGATTCATGAACGTGTGAGGACAAAACAGATGAAGATACTCTTCAGGAATAGCCTTAGTTCATGAGAAGATGGCTCTGAGGCTGCTGGTCCAGGCAGGTTATGTGATACGGCAGAGGGCCCAAAGAGGAGAACTGACATTGCCAGTGGGACTTTAGTGGAGTCACTTGTCTTTCGCCTCTGATTAGTACTCTGTTAAATGGGGATACAAACACATCATTGTATCATTGAGAGGATTAGTGAGCCAGTTCATGTATCTTAGCATAGGACTTGGAAAACACCAAGCCCGCAATTTTAATTCTTCAGTTTTATCTACTGAAGTCTTGCTGGAGACTAAGGCACCTTGACCAGTCATTTCTATAAAGGAAACATGAGCCAAGTATGGATCGATACACAGATTGAGGATGCGTGTCTTCCTATCTTTATTCACAGGCCATTCAGCACTTACAGAACACTTTCTAAACACCAGGCTTGGAGGATGATGCAACAATGAACAACAGATGTTCTGTGTCTCCTTGAAGCTCACAGTCCATCTGGGAGAGACACATGAACGAAGGGACCACCTTAACTCAAGAGAGTAAGGGTTTCACTGGGAGCTGGAGGAGGGGCAAGAGTGTGCAGTGGGTGGGTGGATGGGTATTACATGGGGAAAGAGGCCATCAGGGAAAGTTCTAGAGAGCTTGGCTCTATCTGAGCTAAGTCTATCTGTAAGAAAAATGGCAGGGAGACTTTTGTTAGGGTTGAATGGTATTCCCCAAAAATTCCTTTGTTGAACCCCTAAGCCCCAGACCTCAGAAGGTGATATTAACTGTAAATAGGGTTGTTAAAATGAAGTCAGTTAAGATGATGTTATGCTAGAGTAGGCAGGCCTACCACTCTGATTGGTATCCTTATAAAAAGGGACACTTTGAACATACCTCTAGGCACCCTGAGAGAATCACCTGTGAAGATTGGAGCTGGGCTGCCATCAGCCAAGGAACTACCAGAGCCAGGACAGAGGATTACAATGATCCTTCTCTAGAAACTTCACAGAGACCCTAGCCTTGCTGACACTGTGATTCTGGAATTCTGGTCTCCAGAACCCCAGATAACCAAATGTCTGTTGTTCTAAAAAACAAATACTGCATCCTAGATGGGCAGAAAACATCTCCATATACAAGTGTATATGGAGACTTTTAGGCTAAATCATACAGAATTGCTGTTTCACTATCTCAAACATGGTAGAATATTGGCAATTTGCGTGGTTCAAACTGAACTGTTGAGTCAAAATGATGTATGTGGTTAAGTGGCAGATAGAGACCAATTTATGAAATAAAGCTCAAATATGAATAAAACAGTTCCTACTATGTGGCCCATAAGTAAGTCTCATAAGAAAGCACCATAGTCACGGCAGGTGTACCGAGAATAGCTGTTAACACTGATGATTGGCAAGAGGCTATGGGGTAAATGTTTTCCAAAATTCTACATATAATGGATTTCCTTTTTAGGGAAAATGACTATGGTACTTTTTTCTTTTCCCTAGCTGTTTCAAGGCTTTAAAATTTACCTTAGACACACTTGGAAATATCCCATCAGAATAACGGAGATAGATGAAACACTAGGCAATTTGTGTTGTTGAGAGTGGAGTTTTACTATGATGTGCTTTTACTATACTTCTCATAGCTGTAAGCAAAGCATTAGAATTCATCAGCCTAACTCCTATCTGTTCTCTGCCAGGCAGGGCCTGACATGAGTGAGAAAGCAGCCTTCCTCTGTTCTTTGGAAACAGCACAGATTTGGGCTCAGTAGAGCAAAATGTGTCACTGTGATACTTAGTCTACTCAGCCTGTCATACCATATTCCCTAGATGGAGTAAACCACAGATGTGTTCTTCCTCACAGCTGTGGAAGCTACAAGTGCAAGTTCAAGGTTCTTGGTGAGGGCCCTTCCTACTCCCAATGGCCAGTTTCCTGCTATATTCTGGCATGACTCCTCCTTGGTGCCTTGAATGTATGTGTGTGTGTGTGTGTGTGTGTGTGTGTGTGTGTGTGTGTGTGGTGGGGATGGGGGGGGCAGCAGGTGGGTGTCCAACTTACAAGAAAGTATCCTTCTAAAGACACCCTCCTGAGGGTCAGGGCCTCACCTGTATGATCTCATTCAACCTTAATCGTTACCCTAGTGCCTTTGTCTTCAGAAAGAGCCACACTTTAGATTGGAGCGTCAAAAAGTCTATAGGGCAGGGATATGAGGGGATAGAGACACTCTTCATCCATAACAAATACTCAGCAAACAGGAAACACTGGTGCCCCCACCCACCCGCCTACCCAGTAGCCATCAGCATTCTTGCTTAGGTACTGCTACTAGTAGTCTTCCTCATAGTAGGAAGGAAACTGTCCCTCCTAGATGTCAGTGGTGATGGGTTCAAAGCGATGCTCTGAAAGGACCCATGGAGAAAGGGAGAGACAAAGGTGCCCTTAGGACCTGGGGCTGGATGGAGACCCTTTGGAAGGATCAGAGGGACCCTTGCCTTGCTGAAGGGAGCGAACATATGGCTTGGAGTCCTTTGGGGACTGACTCTGCTTCATTAACTGGGGATTGAACTTGGGTTTAAAGCAGGTTTCTTGACTCTGCACTACCCCATCTGCATGCTGGGAGCCCTGGTTTGGACCCTATGAACCTGTTTGAAACTGGCCTCAAAACCCTCCCTGTGGAAACAGTAGGTAAAGGAGCCATCCCTGGCTGGCCCTGAGGAAGAATGGGTGACCCTGAAGGACTCAGACAGGGCTGCAATAGGAAGAAAGGAGGGAGGGAGCAGGAAGAGTTGGGGAAGTCTGCAGATACCCACATCCCCTGTGCCCACTAGCTCAGACACAGTACCCCTCCCCACTCCCAGGATGATTTTAGGGAGCAGGGACCCTGCTAGGATTCCCCGGCCAACAGGCGCTCATTAGGGACCTGTGCTGTTAACTCCAGGCCAGGGCACCTGCGGGTCAGATCAGCAGAGGACTTGGCTTGATGGCCTGTATAGTCTCGTCACTGCCCTCTGTGACCTAGTTTAAGTCTGGTGGCATCTGCTGCCTGGGAAAGAAACACATAAACACAGTCAGGGGAGGAGCGCAGAGGTATTTGGGGCAGGAGACAGATTAAGAAATAGACATTGTTCCCTGTGGATTTAGCCTGTTTCTTTTCCCTTTCGGATTTCGGCCATGCCCTAGTTTTCTCTTACACAGCCCAGTGGTCCATTGTGTTCAAGCAACAGAGGTGGAACTCCAGGTTCAGTGATTCTTGGTTGATCAGGGGTGCAGGGCCCTCGATTTGCATTTCCACAGGGGAGTTCCCTGTTATGGCCCATTGATCTCTTGGAGTCAAGGCAGCCAAGTGTAGTAGATCCAGTCTTGGGTTCAGTAATGTTTTGCTTACCCTCTACTGCTTCTCTCTGACTGAGCCCTATCATGATTTTCTTTTCTCCCTTCTTATTTATTCCTTATAGAGAGCATGTATGCACACAGGAAAGAGAGAGAGGAGCATCTTCCATAGGGTCTGGTTATGCTGCCATTGTCTTCCTCCAGTCCTCTCACCATCAGATCTGGGGCATTGACGTTTGTGCCTGGTATATTTCAGGTTGACCCAGCTGTGGATTCGATCTGTGGTCACCATGTGGGAGCCAGATTCTCTTGAGCAGGGCCTTAACACTGCTTAATGGAACCAGCTCAGAATTTTTGAATTTGTATCAGCCTTCTAAGGGGGAATTGAGGAGAGGGATGACTCTGAAAACCAAGGCCTGAGGTGTTAAGGAAGTTGGCCCTGAACATATCAATTAGGAAGGATTCCAGAGAGAAATAGAATTCTATTCTGAAAATTCAAATGAAGGTGTGTGTGTGTGTGTTTAAGTCCATACATTCACGTATTCATGACCAAGAGAGAGACAGAGAGAGAGAGAGAGGAGAGAGAGAAAAAACATGCCCCATGGGATCACACTGCAATCCTTTTTTCTCCATTTCAGCAGCCCATCAGGATATGGGACATGTACACAAACCTGGCATGTCTTTTAAGCCCCTGGGGCTGGGATTTGAACCATGGCCAGGTATGTGTGATCTGGCTTCCTAGGCACGGGGCTTGATCACTGTGCTATGGGGCCAGCCCAACCCATGAAGGGATTTTAATGAAGGGACTAAAAGCTGTGAGTATCACAAAGGGATTCAACAAAGGAAAATAAAGTGACCAGAGGCTGGGGACAACTGTTTGGCCGTAGGGGCAAGGAGAGCAATTTACTAACCCTGGGATGCAGTGATAGAGGTGGGCGTGGAGGAGAGGCCACCAAATGGAAACTGAGTCAAGAAGGGACCCAGCACTGACAGCACAATGTCCCAAACAGGAAAGGGACAGGAAAAGAATGCCCCAAACCCACACATTTCCTGGCTTTGGACCTCCTGTTGATACTTCCCAAGGGCAAGCCAAATGTTTTTTAGGACACCAGTTGGCTCAGTCCCCAGTAAGTGAATCCATAGTGGGAAAGTAGGAAACAAACAGAAAATAATGACTGAGCATCATCTAGCACTTTCTCACAGAGGATAGACAGCTCAGAGCCATTCCGATTTTAGGGCCGATAAAGATTCCAAGCTACCGATCATTAAGCCATTCTTGAGTCTGAGCATGTCCAACATTCTGTGACTTAGCACGTGTTCTCTCACTTCATCCTCAGAGCAACTGGATAAGGGATTACTCTTCCTGTTCCCCACATTTAGTAGGTCAATATGCCAGATATTGCATGTTAATATTAGCACCATCTCTGCTTTTCTAAACTCTCCTAGGTATTGTAGAGGTTGAAAGCTACATTTCTCAGAATCCCAGCAGGCTCCTAATTAAGATTCTCAGCCAAATT